ACCGCTGCAGATAATAAGAACTGTAGAGTCAGACTGACCTGGGCTTGATATCTGACAACACTGCTCCATCATCCAGACTTGGCTTCTGTAGCCCTATGCAAGTTACATGCCCTCTCTGTGCCTCAGTTTCCTTTCTGTAAAATTGGAATGATAATGTTACCTATGAGTACCTATGTAGTATAATACCACATGCATGAGTCGGGTAAAGGTTCATGGAAAGGGGAGAGCAGGTGGCTGGTGGTTAACATGCTAGACTACCACATGGCCATGGTTCAAGTCCTGAACCCAGTGGCTTGAAAATAATGCCAAGCATATATGTATGTGTGCATACTCAAAATCCTGAGTGGAGAATAGAGAAGGGATTGCAGAGGGCCATCTCCCCTTGGGGATGATTTCTCACTTTCCCTCTGTTTTTATTTCTACATTGTCCTCCACAAGCGTATGTGCCCTGTGGCAAAAGCCTAATAATAATAATAATAATAATAACAAAAATGTTGAAAAGTGTGTATTATGGAAATAACTATGCATGGATTTCAAAAATGTGAGAGTTGGAAAGTGGCTCAACAACAGAATATGATATTCTGTAACGCAGACCCACATGAAAAGGTTCCAGGTTCACTTCCAGAGAACTCCTTGAGTATTCGAGGCACACATGTCTATGATCTGGGGCTGGCAGAGGCAAGGGGTAGAGGATGGTGTGAAGACCCTGTTGGGAGTACTGTGTCTCTGTCTCTGTGTCTTTTATGCTCGTAGAAGAAATTTTTTTAAAAAATTAAAACAAAATAAGCTCATACTTTCATTTCCTTTTTTCACATACTTTTTGAAGTCCCCTCATGTAAGCATGGTTGTCTGGGAGTAATAAATGAGTTCATCTATATGAAGCACTTGGTACGAGGTCATATATATGGTAGACTTCCCAAAAGTAGTAGACATCAATGGTGATACTAGGGATAAAGACAACAGAGAAAGCATGTATACAAGCAACAGAATTAAAAGACCAAGTTCTGAAATCAGCTCTACAGTTTCCTTACTGTTTACCTCAGAACTTGAATTCTCCAAGTCAGTTTCTGTACCTAAAAACTGGGTCTATGTTGCGAGGGCAGGCAATAGTGTTTAGGTAACATGGCAAGTCTCAAAGCTGTAACTACAGTTAGTTGGGGTTGCCACTGTTGCCTTTCTCTAGAGCATGTGTTTGAAAGGATTTCATATCTTCCTGGTATATTCTGTGTTCTTTTCATGCCAGTTGACAAAAAAAGAGGGATGCAAGGTCTAGATATAAAACCTTTGCTGGGAGCAGGTCCCTAGATGTTCTGTACTTTTGAGGAAATCACTTTTCTCTAGGAAATACTGGCCCACCCCGACCCAGTCTCCCAAACTCACAGGCTTACACAAAGTAAGAAGACCCTCCTGAGTTTGAAGAACAAAACTTCTGTGTTCCCAGAGGTATTCACGTATTATTAGTTAGACTGAGAATTGTGTTCTTTTCTTTATGAAAAGTGTTTTTCAGTGCAAAAATACCTTCATTTCTAATGAAAGTATTAACTGTCAAGAGAAGGAAAAGTGATCAAGATACATAGGATCTTATTTTCGTTTCCAGTTTTGGAAAGAATTCTCCAAATTGGCACCTATTTTAGACTCTTCTTGGAGCTGAAGTGATTCTGCCAGAAGTTAGACTTGGACTTTTTGAGAGTTCCCTTTCTTTTACTATCTTGACTTGGGATGTGGAAAACAAATATACTAAGATACTTTAATTATGTGTATGAAGAATGAGAAAGCATAAGATACTGAGTCTTCATCAGCTTGGAAATCTGTGCTCCCTCCCACACGACAACTCATCACATTGATCAGTGTTCAAGACATATTTATAGAAGTGTTCTATAAATGTGGAGAACAACAAGAAATATATAACTGATCTTCACCAATTGACAAATCCTTGCTTCTACTCATTAAGTCTTTTTAATTAGATGCCTATGAAATTTCAGGCTCCAGATTAGATTTTTTCTTTTGATATCAGCATGAGGTTTCCACATTGTTAACTTCGGGGTGGGGCTGATCCTAAGATCTATTTGTTTTTTGTTTTGTTTTGTTTTGTATAATTCAGTTGGAGCAGTGGCTACCCATTAAAGGGAGAAAAAGAAACCTCTAAGCTGTTGAGATTTAGTCATTGATATAGTTTTTGGAGTGAATTCATATTTTGCTACTCATGGCCTGGCCAGGCAACAAGTCTATTTTGTTTGGATCTGAGGAGCAGATTGGGGGAAGAAAAATCGTATTGACGGTAATAGTTTGAAACATGAAATTGTTTTTATTCCCAGCTTGGAGAAATTGCAGGGCACGTTTTGTTTAAGCAATCTCTTTGACTCCAGTCAGAATACAAATGGAATACCAAGACTGTTGGGCACATTCCCCCTTATCTCCTACCCAGAGACTGATTTCATTACCATAATTGTGGGCTTACTTGGCTTTTGGCAGCCTCCTTCCTCCAAGACTGTTCATAGCCTTGCAGACAATTGTTGCAGTTCAGTTGTTCTGTCTGCAGGCAGAGGGAGATGGAGCTGCAGAAGAGAAAGATTATGTCTCCATGGGCAGAGCAGTGCCCCATCACTAGCCAGCTTGATCGTATACCACCAAGCTGTGTGATACTTCCATCACTTCTCCTTCCAAGGTTTTGTGTGAGTCCCAGTTACCATTACTCTCTAGTGACCATCCATTCCAGCACACAGCAACATACAAAATGCACAATGTATTCTTTTTCTTCCCTCCCCTTTGTTGAAGGAAGAGAGGATTACTAAAACCCTCCCTTATTTTTTATAAATATGCAAGGAAAGCCTATTGGGGTAATTGTGGTGGCAGAGGATAAAGCTAGTGGTGCCCTTCTAGGCATCCCACCAACAGAAAAGACATGCACTTGGCCTGCCACAGGCTGTGACTGGATTTGAAGGCCACCACCTTGACCATGTGTCTAGACCACACTAAACCATGGCCTGGGCCTACCTTTGGCTGGATAACTTCCTCTGAATGTCAAAGTGAGCAGAATTCAAACCTTCTCATCCCTAACACAAAAGGAAGGCGCTATTTGTTTCAGGGATGGGCACACCCCAGTGCAATTTGGCAGAGCACCTCGGCAAGTCTCTCAGATGTCGGGTTAGGGCAAAACTGGAAAGGCATCTGCCCAATACATCTTGCGCTGATTACTTGGAGTGCATGTTTCTGATTCATTTGCACATAACTCATCCAGGGGGTGTTGCAAGAACTATGTGATGGCCAAAGGAACCCAATGAGTCTTTTATTATGTTTTTTTTTTTAAAACAAGTTTCTCTACGTTGATTGTCTCTTGGAGCCAAGAAGCCGCATGCTTCCAGCCTCATGACAGACTTCAAAACTAGGCTACATAAATCCAGGAGCAAGTCCTAACCTTGGCCTGGGACCATCTTCTCTGTCCCTGAGGTTGGTTGAGGAGTGTGCAGACTGAGTCTAGATTGTGGGATGAGTGAAAATCTTTGCTTGGAAAGCCTGGTCTCAAGGACCTTGTTATCCTCTCTCTACACACCCTGTGGCATCCAGCCCCACCTCCATGCCTGTGGCCTCTTGACTCCCTCAGTCTCACAAAGGAATAATACCTCTATTACTATTTGAGACACAGCGTGGCCAATTGGTAAGAGCAGGGCTTCTGAAGCCAGATTCCCCATGTTTACCACTTTCTAGCTCTGTGATCTTAGGCAAGTTTAACATCTCTGTGCACCAATTTCCCTGAAAGTAAAAACCCATCCTTTGCTCTCTAGCAACCAGCCCAAATGTAGTAGCTTGAAGCAATAACAATTAAGTTGTTTGTGGCCCTGCAGGTCAGGAATTGAGCAGGGTTTAGCTGGGACAGCTTGTCTTTGTTCCATGTGGTTTTGGCAGGAGAGGCCCACCAGGGGCCAGATGATCAAAGATGTTCCCACTCATACTAGTGGGGCCTTGGGGGTGGACATTGGTTGGTTCTCTTCCACATGGCCTCACTCTTTAAGTGATCTCCACACATGCAGGGATCTGGGCTGGAATTCCTTACATAACAGTAGGAACCTTCCAAGAGAATGAAAATGGACCTCTTAAGACCTGTCACAGTGTCTCTCCCATTCATTCTGCTGGACAGAGTGTGTCACAGGCTAGACCAGATGGAAAGAGATGGGAAATAGCTGATACCTCTTGATAGACAGTGTGGCACACATATACAAGGACAGGAGGTGGCTTGTTATGAGGATTAAACAAATTCATATAGCTGGGACATTTAAGTTGTGCCTGGTACAGAGGTAATATTCAATAAGCGTTGTGTTTTATTGTGATTATTCTTATATCACTTCAGAAACACATACAAGGGGTCTTTAAACAGTTTATGTAAAATACATATTATGAAAAAATTATGCATGGATTTCAAAATGTTTTGCACCAAAATAAACTCATACTTTAAATCCGTTTTCATGAATTATTTTTAAACAGAGATTTTTGCTATAGGGTGCATATACTTGCTGGAGAGAAAGAAAGAAAACAAGAAATCACTCCCTAGGGGAGATAATCATGCCCTGACCCCTTCTCTATTCTCCTTGCAGGATCTCAGGCACACACACACACACGCCCAGTGGGACTGGCACCATGGTCGACTACATAGGAGTCCAGTGACCTAACCATTATGCCATCTGCTGGTCCCAATTTTCATGAACTTTCTGAAGTCCCCTCATATAGCATATGTTTACTCCTTGAATAAAGTCTTCTCAAAATTTATTCCTCAGTAAATCAGGGGCCCTAGTGATGGATGAATTGTCTCCTCCCAACTGGAAACCATATTCCCTCTAGTTATTTGGGCAATCCCTGGATGTTTTTCCTTCTGCATCGCCATCAGCTTTCCTTCATGACGGATACAGCCATCATTTCCCTCTGCTCTCTCAGACTTTCTTCCAAGGGTCATGTAGCTTGGAGGCTGTTAGCTCCACATTGACCCTGGCCTGTTCTGAATTCTTCAGGTCACCATAGAGGTGGTCGACGGTCCTGACTCTGAAGCAGATAAAGATCAGCATCCGGAGAATAAGCCCAGTTGGTCAGTCCCATCCCCCGACTGGCGGGCCTGGTGGCAGAGGTCCTTGTCCTTGGCGAGGACAAACAGCGGGGACCAGGACTACAAGTACGACAGTACCTCAGACGACAGCAACTTCCTCAACCCCCCCAGGGGGTGGGACCGTCCGGCCCCAGGCCACCGGACTTTTGAAACCAAAGAGCAGCCAGAATATGGTGAGTCTACCACACAGTATAAAATTGGTGGGGAGAATAAATGAGGATGATGAGGCCTAACCCAGAGCCAAGCAAAACCCAGTTTACAATATGTGGCTTCTGGTCTTCTGTGAAGCGTACTTCATAAAGGCTCTGCTCCACAGAAGCCCCAAGGAGGCACCAGCAGCCACATTCTTCTGGAAAGACTATAATTTTAAAATCATACCAATTATCTTTGGAGAGAATATTTTAGAGATCTTTAGAGTCCTTTTTTCCCCAACAAATTTTAGTTTTATTTCTAAAAACGAAGAAATTACCAAATTAACCTCTTTATTATTTTTAATGTAAAAACTCATATTGAAAATCAATTCAGTGAAAGAGATGTGTATCACTGCTCTCTTTGACCATGCACTTGTGTCAGTTTTGTTAGTAGCAATGGAATCGCCCTTGGGAATCCACAAACACAAATATCACAGGTTGTCAAAGTAAGGGACCTTACCCCCAATTTCAAGACCCCAAGATGGGAATTCCATTTTCTTATAGTTTTAGAATAGAATAGGTGAGGTAACAAACAACTTCCACATTCAGTGACTTAAGGTAATAAAAGTTCTTTTGGGGATGGGAAACAGTAAAAGAAATCAGCTGCCCTCGGTCATTCAGAGATGCAGCCTGCTTTCATTTTGGAGCTTCACCAACTGCCGAGGCCTGAGAGTTATTCCTCTGAATGCTCTGTATCTTGCTGGTAGCCAAGGACAGAGAAGAGGCTAGAGAAGGCATAGATGCTCTCGACACCCACAGCCTAGAGGGTACTTAAATTCTATTCTCCCATCTTGGTCATGTGGCCCCACAGAGATGCAAGGGAAGAATAGGAAATGTGTGGTGTATGTCCAAGAAAGAAACAGATTCAGCAAGCCTTGGGCAGTCTTAGTGGAGAGTCAGTCAAGAACTTGCTGTGTTTTCTTGATGTACCCATCATCATGATGTTCTTGTGGCTTCATCATCAGCGCACCATAGAATAGGCAATGAAGATGACCTATCTTGTACCATTTGCACTCTCACTTATTCCCTCATTTTTTAACAGAAAGACTAATTGTATGTGAGGTAATTTCAAAATGTTTGTGGAAAGATTGAATTAAAGTATGAGTTTATTTTGGTGCAAAAAAAATTTTTTTTTAAAATCCATGCATAGTTTTTTCAGAATATCCATTTTCTGTGAACTTCTGGAAGACTTTTTCATATTGTCATATTAATAGATGTTTCCAGGTGACTTCCCAAACAACAAGACATTTCTTTCCAGCCCCATCATTCATCGTGTAAACAGCATTTATTAAACAAAAGCATGCTTTATATTCAACACTATGCTAGATGCTGGGAATACAGAAATGAGCACAACACTAGTCCTTCCCTAAAGAAGGTCTCACTCAACTGTGGACAAAGGGAGAAAATGAACTGATACAGCAAAATATTGGGTTGTCAGAAAAATCATGGCATATTTTTACATAGAAAACCATAGGAAAAATACATCATGACTTTTCCAACAACCCAATAGAACCATGAAGGAGGTACACATCAAATGTTGGGGCACCAGAAAGAGAACACCATATTCCTTCCAGCCAGGAGGCTTATGAAACTGTCACCTTTCCCAGGGGAAGTCCAATTTATCTACGTTCAAGAGGAAGGACTACGGATATGGATAGCTGCCAACTTTTCTATTGTACTCATCCTACGCTAGCCCTCTTCAAGGCAGTTCACGTATATTTGCCCATTTAATCAGTTCTCTAGGCAGATACCCCATTTTACAGATGGGAAAACTAAAGTCTAGAGAAATCAAGGAACTTGACCTGAGGGTGAAGACCTGGAATTCATCCCAGATAATCTGGTTCCAGAGTCTGTCATCTTACCCATCATACTGTTCTTCCTCTCTGGGGAAAAGCAAGTAGTTAAGTTAGTAGAGTAGGTCCAGAAATGCCATGTTTACGTTGTGAAGGTATGAGTGGGAGGAAAAGATCTGTGCTGTTGGACAAGACAAGTCCAGAGGCTCCCTGAATGCCAGCCCGACATTGTACAGGGTTTGTGTTTGCCCAGCCCACACAGAACACTGTTTCTGAGAGTGGGGTTCAAACACTTAACATCATGGCTTGTGCTAATGGAAACATATCATGTGATGATGGTATAAGTCAGCTTCCCTGTGAAAAGTCTGTTTTTGAGATATTGCATTTTAAATACCATGACATAGATGCTTCAGGTATCTAGGGAAAAGAGAGAATCCAAATAATTATCTTCTGTTTAATAGTAGTGTACCAGTCCCCAAATTATTCAGAATAGCTTTTTTTTTTTAGAGGTTTTTGCTATAAGGCACGTGCACTCACCAGAAAGACAGAGACAGAGAGACAGAAAGTGAGAAATCACCCCCAGGGGGATGGCCACATTGCAATCTCTTTTCCTCTATCCTCCTCTTAAGACCTTGGGCATGCACACACATGCCTAGTGAGTTTAAGTCACCAAGTACAGGACTCAAACCCTGGTCAACTACATAGGAGTCTAGCAACATAGCCATTATGCTAACTGCTGATCCCCAGAATAGCTTTTTAAAGTTTATCCTTTTTTTTTTTTGCATGAGTAAGAAAGATGTATGAAGATAAAAGAGAAAGAGACAAAGACAGCACCTCCAACAGGGTCCCAACAATCCACCCCCAGCCTCCATCCTGCCATGGATCACAAACACACTCATGTTTGGCATACTCAGGGAGACCTCTGGACTTGAACCAGAAACCTTCCCACGTGGGACTGCCTTGCAGAGCATTGTGCTTTACCACTACACCTCTGCCTGGGCCCCATAGGCCTATTTTAATAGAAGACTTCACAGGGCTATTTTCTGGATGTTTTTTTTCTTGTAATGTTGAATTAAGGCCACATAAGTGACTACCTTAAAGGACAGAGGCCAGTTGAATCTGCTGGAATACCAGAATGTAGAACAGGATATAGCAGGAGCAGGTAGACCTCAGATCTAATCTGAGCTCTTTTGAGTTGGAGCTGTACGACCTTAGGCAAATGCTTCAACCTCTCTGAGCCTTGGGCTCTTTATTCATAAAAGGGGAATGTTTTCACCTACTTTGCAAGGTTATTGTAGGAGTTATATCAGTGTGTACAGACAAAGCAGCTGGTTAGAGCAGGCCGTTGATAATTGGTAGCTACTCTAGTCTGGGATTAGTGGCACAAGGTTGCTGGTGGCCAAGCTGAGGGACATGCAAGTCGCTTTAGCTTCCCCAATGCTATAACTGGCCCACAGATCTCTATTTCCCCATAACTATCTGATGACTACTCTAAATTTTCAAATCACATCTTTGGAAGCTCATTCTCAAGATGGTTGTTTTCTTTCCGCCGTGACCTCTTTGATGTCATAGACAGAGACTGTCAAAGCACCATATAAATGTTCCCGGGAACTGTATTTTCCTGTCATTGTTGTTATCTTGCTGATCGCTGCTGCTCAAATTCATTTTCTGTTTTGAGTGATGCTCCCTGGTAGGTGAGCAAATGAGAACAGGTTTATTTTATTATAGCAGGAAGAACTACTGCCCTCAAAGCTTTATCCCAATTAGAAGTTGTCTTTCTGTCCTTTGAACACATTAAAATAATAGAAATCCCCAGGAGGAGGTCTTTGTCAGTAAGTTGATCTGGGCCCCTGTGTTTTTGAGGCTTCAGGGTAGTGAGCTGACACACACACCCTTCCTGAGGAGGTTGTTTCCGTTTATTGCTAGCCTTAAAATGAATGAGTAGGCACATGGCACGGAAGTGTCCTATGCCTAATTTTGGGGGACCCATATAAAACAATTTCAGAAAGGTCATGGGTTTTTAAGCACTTTAAAAAATAAACTTGTGGAGAAAGCTACTAACATGAATTATAAATACTTGATGGTTCCAGAGTATCGTTTAGGGAGGATTTCATGATGTATTTGTAATAGTTAGCTTCTGCTGCTCAAGAAACCTCCCCTAAAATTTAGTAGTGTCAAAGAACAAGAGGGTATTCCCTCATGAATCTATGTGTTGTCTGGATTCTTCGGGTCTAGGTTGGGTTGACTGGGGCTGTGTAGTCTAGGTCTATGATGGAGCCCCCACTGGACAGCTGAGGTGCTGAGGTGATTGGACCTCTCTCCATCTGGTTTCTTACCCCCAGGAGGCTAGCCTGTGCTCTCACCTGATCAAAGAGATTCCTATAACTAGAGAGGGCAAGCCCTGATAGGTAAGCACTGTTCCAGCCTCCGCTTGCCTAGTCATTACTGTTATCCCATTGGCCAAAGCAAGTCAAATATCTCAGCCTGGAATCAGTAAGAGACAGGATAGATACGGGGAGAAGGGTAATGGGTGCCATTTTTCACATTCAAAAAGGTTTATAGGAAAATATAATTATAGATTTATCTTGGTGCAAAAAAAAATTTTTTGAAGCCCATGCAGTTCTTTCATAAAACACATTTTCTATGAACTTTTTGAAGACCCTCATTGTAATTATTATTCAATAATTTAGCTCCAAGAAACCAAAACATAACATTTCCTCACATAGCAATTTCCATATAAGCCTTCTACTTCAGTTTAATGTTTAATATTAAAACCTCAAAATTCAGGGATGCCTTTTCCCAAAATTAGTTCTCTACATTACTGTAAGGGAAAAGAAAGGCTGTAAGAAATTTCTGGGTGGTTGGGGCCACTTAGCTTTTGCAAAACCAAGAAGGACACCACTTGGAATTCCTAGATGGTACCCATGCTACAGATGACATGAGATCCATCTATGTGATGTAATAGGTTTTTTCTAACTTACCTACTTCCTTTTCTCTATGAGTATAAAAACATAATCTTTACTTACAACTTTATTTTGTTTCCCTTTTTTAAAAGAATTACTTTATTAATTTTTATATTATTTTTTAATTTCACCACAGCAATACAGAGAACAAGAGAGGGAAAGTGAGAAAGCAAGCTGCCAGGTTTGGGACTTGAACCATGGTCAGCCAGATGGCAATCCAGCTGCTTTAACCACTATGCCACCAGCTGGCCCTTTTTTTTTTTTTTTGTTTGGCTCCCTTTAACAAAATCTGGCCTTGGTGCTGTGTGCAGGGTGTGATTGAGTGTATACACATGTGCATATTACACACTGCACCTGGAGGTTCCCAATGACACATGTGCAATTATGTGGTTGTTTAAGACATCTCTGGTGTTTTCAGTAAGAGGACCTAGAGATCACAGACCTTGACATTCTCAGGGGGAGTAACCACTGTTCCTTCCTCGGTGGTTTCTCCCACCAGAAGCAATGTTTCTCTCCAGTCGTCCTGGGTTGAGATGATAGAGAAGAAGGAGGCCAAATTCCCTAACACAAAGCAGGAGTTTCAAACATCTGCTTGGCTGTTTGGTTGGAAAACCATTCCATAGTAGAAAATCAGTTTGGAAAAAATTCTTTTTAAGGGAGGGGATAGGAATGGATAGGGCCCCTGGGAACAGGTAAGGTGTGAGCAAACTCTCTGCTCAGAGTTAGAGAAGAGGACACAAGCATGAAGCACCCCACCCCACTCTGACTCTGCGCCATGTAAACAACAGCCTGAGAGGCTGGCATCGGGCCCAGGCTCAGGTAGAAACATGTGTGCACTGCATTCCTG